TCTTTACTTCACTACATTTTTGAACGAGTATCTGTACTCTTTACTCTACTACATTTGAAATGAGTGTTGCAGTTACACATTACATTTTGCATGGACCTAGCTTTTTCTGCCGCAGTTTATTTCTGCTACAAAAGACGTGATACTGCCTATTACAGGTCACTGAAAGTACTGCATTTGGCCCTTACTCACCCAAACTTGTCAACAAGGCTACTTTATGTGAATGCGAGTTCCTTAGCAAGTATTTGTGAATCAGAGGTGTTTTATGTATGAGATGAGGACATGACTGCAGCCGGCAATGAGGCCCAAACCAACACATCCACTGCAAGAAGGCTTTGGCTTTTTAATTTTACTTAACATTATTTTATTTATCCATTATACTGAAGAGACCTTTTTGAAAGATATTTTTTTGTTTTGTAATATTAAGGTGTTCAGTTTTATTTTGGTTTTAGAAAATAAACGTGACTGCTCTCCTCACAAATCAACTCTTTCTTGTTTTTGTTTCATGCTCTCTGTGCCTTGCCCTGGACTTTTATGTCACTTCCTGTCTCCCGTGGTGTTTGTAGTCCGTTTGTAGTCCATTTGTTCATTTGTTCCCCTTGATTAGTCTCCCCAGGTGTTTCTTATCTTGTTAAGCTTGTTAGCCCCCTGTGTGTTATATAGCCCTAGTTTTTCTTTAGTTCCTCGTGAGTTGTTGAATGTAATGGTTGTCTGTTTGCCAGTCATTCTGTTCTTTGTTCCCTTTGGTTTTTCCATGAAATACCAGCACAATAGATCCTTGCCTCTACCTGTTTTCCACAGCAAACCCAAAGGTTGTGGGTTCGAGTCTTGTACCTGCAGGAATTGTAGGTGGGGGGAGTGAATGTACAGTGCTCTCTCTCTCCCACCTTCAATACCACGACTGAGGTGCCCTTGAGCAAGGCACCGAACCACCAACTGCTCCCCGGGCACCGCAGCAAAAAATGTCTGCCCACTGCTCAGGGTGTGTGTGCGTTCACTGCTGTATGTGTGCACTTTGGCTGGATTAAATGCAGAGCACTAATTCCAAGTACGGGTCACCATACTTGGCCACATGTCACGTCACTTTTATCAGATACTCGAAGACTTTTACTCAAGTTGTTTTGGAATTGGTGACTTGTAACGTGTAGTGGAATCATTTTCACTGTTAAGGTATCTGTACTTTTACTCAAGTATGGTTTTTAGGTACACTTTACACCTCTGATTGATGATGCTGTTAAGCTTGAGAAGGACAAAACCATTTCAAGAGAGAGTAAAATACAAATATTTGATACTTAAAACTACTATTTTTGTTTCATGTGGGATGCCACATTGTTTCCATCTGTACATTCACACATTTATGCCGGTTTAGAGACTCAGCCCATCTTTAATTTAGGTACAAGAATCAATGTTTTTGGTCCTGCTGGTCCTGCTGCTTATTTTACTCTGATCTCCTGGAAACATTAATTTGGTTCAGTGTGAGCCACTCACTGATCTATAATAGAGATTATATAGTAGGTAGAGTCAGAAGTGGCCTAATGGTTAGAGTCGGACTCGTAACCCAAAGGTTGTGGGTTTGAGTCTCATACCAGCAGGGATTGTAGGTGGGGGGAGTGAATGTACGGCGCTCTCTCCCACCTTCAATACCACGACTGAGGTACCCTTGAGCAAGGCACCAAACCCCCAACTGCTCCCCGGGCGCCGCAGCATAAATGGCAGCCCACTGCTCCGGGTGTGTGTGTGCACTTTGGATGGGTTAAATGCAGAGCTAATTCCTAAGCTCTGAGTCACCATACTTGGCCACATGTCACGTCACCGTGGATCCACAGAGAATTGACATAGCGCTTCTCAGCACTCGTTCTCGTTTAGTCACTGCAGTAATTCCCATTTGTGATATTTGTATATTTTAACAGTATGATTGGAATACTCATCAAGTAATTTTCAATGACTGCTGCACACCTTACTTAACTCTGCACAGTAAAAACACTGAAACCACAGAAAGAATAAAACACCTTTTAGTATTTCATCTATTGCTTTTACAAAAATTGTATCATGCAAGTAATCACAAACAGGCAAATAACACAGATCTCTGAAACAAGAGTTTCTCTCTTCACATTGAGTTGCATCAGTTACATCATATTGTGCAATTATTTCCCATCAGCCTCCTGCTGTCCTCCTTTCTTTTGCTTCTTCTTGTTTTGTTGCTGCTGTGTTTTGGCTTTCTTCGTGGCCGGCTGATTTTGTGTCCCTTCTCCTCCCTGCTGTTTCCTCTTCTTGTTCTTCTTCTTCTCTCCTGATGCTCCTTCAGGGGTTTCTGGTGTCTCTTTTCCCTCCAGGACGGTGGGCTTCTTACGGTTCTTGCGTTTCTTTGTCTCAGGAAGGAACCCTTTCTTCTTCTTCTTCTTTGTGGTCTCTTCTGTCTGCTCTGCCTCTACAACTTTCTTCACCTTTTCCAACTTTGGCTTTCTAAAATAAAGCAAAGGAAGAGAGACATTAAAGACAGGTTCATCATCAGTTAAATCTGCTGGAAATTGTTTAATACTTGAAAAGAAAAATATTTTACTATGTAATAAAAACTACTTTTATTATGTAATACTTTAAACATGAAAGATACTTCACGTATTTCACTTTTGTCTATTTTCATTTGGAACATCATGGACACGAACCAAAAGATGATTATTCATAAGCAAACCAAATTTCTGAATGGTAGTGAAGCATACACATACACATTTAAAATGATAATCAAAAGAGATTTGAATAACGTGACTCACAGAATGTAAAATAACTTCATCACGCTCCAGTACATGTCCTCCAGCTGTCCTGGTTTCTGCAGGCTTCCTTCAGAGTTTATGGACTTGAGAACTTTCTGAAGGAGCTCCAGATTAACCGGCATCTTCTGCTCAGAAAGAAACAACATGGGTTTAAAAAAAAAACTCACACTTGAGAATACCTTGTAAAAGCAGAAGATTTAGTAAAAACATTGATTCATTACCTGATTGTGAACGGATCTGACAAGATGCTGACAGAGCTCTAGCACCTTGACTATCTTCTCACGAACCGTTTTATTCTTAGACTGTACATCTTCAAAACTCTGGAAGGGGATATATTTTAGTATAGATATTATATACAGGGTTCGTACACATTTTTACCAATACATTTCCATGACTTTTGAGACAATATTCATGACCTAAATGTTCCATTATTTTACAATAAGAATAAAAATCTGTTCAAATTATCATAGCATATGTTAACTAAAATGAATGACTATTAATGCTACTCGTTTGCTTTCTTGTTTTAGTAATAAGTACAAGCTGCAACTGCGCCAGACCTTAACTCCACCTTTCACATCACTGAATATTATCATTTATTTAACTGTGTGGCCAGGATGGCCATTTTGGTGTCATTTTGTGTGTATTTTTGCTGCTTAAATGCAACAAGCTGCGCTTTAGAGCCCTGCATTTCAGCCCGAGCCCAACGGCCATAACTTATGTATGGCTTCGGGACAATTTTCGCGTCATAGCTCAGACACGGGCCAGGCATCAGGCTTGCTTCCTCCTTATGTTTATATTTTAGATACCCATCAATTATTATGGTGATGACAAAGATTTGCCACGCTTGTGGAAACAACACGAGACCGTGCTACCGCGACTGTCACAAAAATGAATCGTTTCCACTGGTATAAGAAAAAAATGCAAGTGATCGTGCTGGCGACACCATGTCCTGCAAAGCGCGCTTTAGCTTCTCTGCACAAATGATTGGATACGCTCCTAATAGCACACATTTTAAGCATTTTATATAGGCCTATAGATTTTATTTTAGCCAAGTGGTGATGATTTGAGAAGGCTAAATTGATCAAACATGGAGTGGCCTAGCCAGTCTCCAGATCTCAACCCCATAGAAAATCTTTGGAGGGAGTTGAAAATCCGTGTTGCCCAGCGACAGCCCCAAAACATTACTGCTCTAGAGTAGATCTGCATGGAGGAATGGGCCAAAATACCAGCAACAGTGTGTGACAACCTTGTGAAGACTTACAGAAAACGTTTGACGTCTGTCATTGCCAACAAAGGGTATATAACAAAGTATTGAGATTAAATTTTGTTATTGACCCAATACTTATTTTCCACCATAATTTGCAAATAAATTCTTTAAAAATCCTACAATGTGCTTTTCTGGATTTTTTTTTCTCATTTTGTCTCTCATAGTTGAGGTATACCTATGATGAAAATTACAGGCCTCTCTCATCTTTTTAAGTGGGAGAACTTGCACAATTGGTGGCTGACTAAATACTTTTTTTCCCCACTGTATATGCATGTAAATACATGTAAATATTTTCAAAATATATACATGCATGTGTGTGTCCATGTATACATAGTAAATATACACAGTACGCACACATATATTATGTAAACAAAAACTTTTATTTTGGATGCGATTAATCATTTGACAGCACTAGTTTGTATGTATATTTGGGTATTATTTTACATTGATATTTTAAACACAGAATGCCATCAAACTGGCAAGATATTAATGTAAAAGTGAACAAACATAATACTGAAAAATATTTGAAGACTACAAGCCATTATTGTAATATATTAATTATTTAAAAAAATATTTTATTAATTATTGTTTAAATAACCAACTTATTTTACATTACTAAAAAATAGCTATCAATTTGTATCAACATGAACAATATTTGAAAATAATTAAACAAATACTGATGTTTCAAGAGTGCTGACCATTAAATGGTGAAAAGTCTACCTTGGTGAGTTGGTCCACAACTTTCTGATGCAGCTCAGTTCCCTGGGCATCAGACATCAGGTTCTTCACATCTTTAGACTGCAGGGCCCTGAGCACCATGAGACATGCCTGACCCTGAAACAACCGGACAAAAAAAAAAAAAAACACACTTAAGACAGTACATTATAATTCAAGTATACAGTAACTGATTACACATCCAAAATATTAATGAGCTGCCCCAATACACGATAACACAGATGATTCAGCTTCATTTACCTGCTGATGTTCCCTCACTCCAGCAGTGATGTTCTCCACAGCCGTGTCCAACATGTTCACACACAACACCTTCAAACACAACACAAACCCATCAGTTACGGCCCATTAACTGCTTTCATGAGATAAAGACAACATTTTTACATTTTCAAGAAACCTTGAGCGTTTTTAAGTGTGTGACTCACCACTACAATATCAGGACATTTATTTGAGGTTTAATTAACGTTATTAATACTTTTCCCAGTACTAATATAATTCCCAATAGTAATAGTGATGTTGGCCATATCAAAACTCACCAACATTGAGCTGTCTACCTTTACACAGAGCTGAACGATTAAAGGCACAATATGTAATTTTCGCCGCTAGAGAGCGCGTATTCAAAATAAACAGAGGCAAAGGCGTAGTTTGATGACACGGTGACTGAGTGTGGAATCATGGGAGTTGTGGTCTTCATCCCCACAGCCGATGCAACTCGACGGGACTCGGGCAGAAATCATGTTCATGGATGAGCTGATGATTTATTAACATAGTAGAATGAAGCAGGGTGAGGCTGAAAGCCTTCGAAGCGGAACGGGGCCGCTGAACGAGCGCGACACACGGCTCGAAAGCAGCGGAGCTTTTATTATGCCACAGTCGAGCGCTTCCGCTGCTTCCGGTCGTGCGTATGTGGGGTAAAGCAGCGCTGTTTTATCATACTAGATACATTTGAAAGTTCTGTTATAATGCTACTCTGTGCGTTCGTCACCAGTCTAATAAAACGCACAACATATTAAAGCGTCTTTGGTGTTTCCATGTTTTCTACAAAACAAAACCAGAAATCGAGGGGTTATGACGTCATTGGCAGGTGACAAAATGACACTATAGACACACTCCGTGTCACTAGTTAAAATTGCTTATTTCTCTGGATTTAAACATTCTTCGAAACATTTGGGATAATGTAAGTACACAAGTCAGCAAAATATATAACACTGTTCTAGTGGTTTTGGATACATAGTGCCTTTAATCTAAATAAAATTAATATGGCAATATGTTATTACCTAATCATAAAAGCTGTGATTTATGTAACTAAGTGAGTCTGAGTTGCTTATTAAGTGCATTTTGGTTAACAAAATAAGCACATTAACTAATAAATATTAGTATTGTAATTTTACAGTTGTACTGAAAAATTATTAAATGTTAGTGTTATTAAATACAATTAATTAATTTTAACATTAAAACTATTATTACAACAGTAATATTTCTTATTTTGTTTAATATTTTATTTAATAATAATTATTATTATTATTTTGTAGTCATCTTAATACTCGTTCTCAGTTTGTTTACCTGGGTACTAATAGATCTCAGACTGCGCCTTTGTGTCAGGGTGTCCCTCAGGGGTCAGTTTTGGGACCTGTTCTATTTAGTATTTACATGGTGCCTCTTGGGCAGATTATTCAGACGTATGGCCTGGGCTATCATTGTTACGTGGACGATACCCAGATTTATATTAGCACTCAGCCTGATTCCACTTCTTCCTTTTTAACTCTAAATTGTTCTAAAACTGAAATTTTATTAATTGGCATTCCATCCAATGTTAACAAGTTCAGTAATTTTAAACTTTCAGTTGACAATACCCAAATATCTCCTCCTGCTCAGGTGCGTAATTTGGGTGTGATTTTTTTTATTAGATTTTTTTATTTTCACTTCAAAAACATAACTAAAGTTGCTTTTTTCCATCTTCGTAACATTGCACGCATTAGACCCTTTCTTTCTATGCCTGATGCTGAGAGGCTTATTCATGCCTTCATCACATCACGGGCTCGATTATTGCAATTCTCTCTTTGGGGGTTTACCAGCAAGTTCTGTTAAGAGACTACAATGTATTCAAAACTCAGCAGCGCGGAGATCAGCCCTACAAACAAGCACAACAAAACTGGATAACTTTAAATATTTTAGATTGCAATTGCCATCAGAAAAAAACTCAATTAGATTTTTTCCCCTAATCATTCGATACAATACCTTTAAAAATAGTACTGATATTATTCACTACTGAAGTTGTTTTGACTCACAGGGAATCTGCTGAAGAGGTCGATGAACATGGCTCCAGTGAGAGGGCTTTTCCTCTTTGTCAAGAAAGATGTCAATGCGTTTTTGAAGCAAGTCGTGACCCTCTCAACATCCACTTTACCCATAAGCCTTAGCTGTGATCAACAAACAAGTTACGTTAGTAACCTCAGTACTTCGAGATTAACAACAGTATGTCTATTGAAGATGGTAGTTTACCTCTGCCGGTGTTGACGGTGCGTTTGCTGAGTCCTGTTCACTCACAACGCCTCTTAACACCTTCAGCACATAGAGAGCAGCACTACAAAACAATAACAATGTGATTTAAAGAAACAAACAGACCAAAAGTAGACACGCAATGAACATATACAAGAGTTTGTATACTACAGGTAGACCTTTTTGTCTTTTTTCCTGCAACATGGGATTAATAATTGCAGAAGTCCTCACCTGAAGTAGTACAGAGACACAGACCAGTCTGTCAGCTTCTGGGCTCGACCAATCAGACGGTCAAGCATTTCATGAAGCTCCGCCTCTCGTCCGTCGGTTTCCCTGCAGTAATACTTCGCACGACAGAGTCGATTCCTGCCAATCAGAGACCGAGCGACAAACTATGAGAATTAAACGCGATGAAATAAACAAAACTGTCTTTCTACATAAAGAAAAGGTCAAATTTGCAGCATGTTTTCTGTGAGCTGAATCTCAGCTGCAGTGTTTTGTTATCATCAACTACAAATTTTAAGTTTCCTGTATTTAAAATAAAAAATTAAGATGAAAGACAAATGTTTTAGTACTAAAATTATTAAAAATAAAATTGACGAGCTATACGAAAATATTAAAAGATATAAAAGCTAATTAGAAATCTCAATACATACTTTAAAAGTACACAAAGCACAGTAAAATAGCACTGCTCACCTGAAGATGTCTGCAGCCCTGCGCAGGAAGTCCTGCTCCTGTTGGCTGGTTTCGGAGCTCATCCCGTTCTCGATCACGATCATCTTGCTTATCCTCCTCTTTACGTTTTCTCTTTTTCTCTTTCTCCTTCTCATCAGTCACCATAACGCCGCTTTCATCCTCATCCTTGTTGGGGTCTAGAACCTAAAAATCAATCAAAACAGATCCCATTTACTTTCTTAATATATTATCCGAGTGTTATACTACACAAATAATCACATTTACATGATTTCAAAGGATTTTTCTTTTTTTTTTTTAAATACAGATCATGTAATGACTTTCTCTCATTTAATCACACCTGTGGGGACTGAAAAACAAAATGTAGATTTAATGAATTATATCTCAGCCTAACATCCACGATCCAGTCAGATCCTGATCAAATAAAACCTCGCTCTACATTATTTCCTCTAGAATATTCAGTTTAGCTCGGAAATACGTCACATCACGGAAGCTAAATGCGCTGTGGGTAAAATTAAACCGTGTACAGTTTAGGGATGCACCGATATGAAAATTTTGGCCGATACCGATAATCCTTTATTTTTGAAAGCCCTCATCATCTTGCTTATCCTCCTCTTTACGTTTTCTCTTTTTCTCTTTCTCCTTCTCATCAGTCACCATAACGCCGCTTTCATCCTCATCCTTGTTGGGGTCTAGAACCTAAAAATCAATCAAAACCGATCCCATTTACTTTCTTAATATATTATCCGAGTGTTATACTACACAAATAATCACATTTACATGATTTCAAAGGATTTTTTTTTTTTTTTTTTAAATACAGATCATGTAATGACTTTCTCTGATTTAATCACACCTGTGGGGACTGAAAAACAAAATGTAGATTTAATGAATTATATCTCAGCCTAACATCCACGATCCAGTCAGATCCTGATCAAATAAAACCTCGCTCTACATTATTTCCTCTAGAATATTCAGTTTAGCTCGGAAATACGTCACATCACGGAAGCTAAATGCACTGTGGGTAAAATTAAACCGTGTACAGTTATAAAAACAAGCGCTGTAAAGCAACAAAGAAGCTGCCGTTTTAAAACCCACCTCTTAAAGCTAAAATAATATATATTTATATATTTAATTATTAAATAACTAAAGAACTAAAACAAATAAATATAAAATGAATGGTAAACAGAAATTGATTCAAATGCACATTCACTAAAACAAACAATTTTTTTAAACAAAACCTAAAAATATAAGTATAAGCTCATTCAAAATATTATCATAATAGTATGTAAATAATACTAAAATAGCACTGTTAATTAGTCAGCAGTCTCTTACGTTCAGGATGGAGCTGAGCGCTTCTTGGGTGAGGTGAGGACAGATACGGCTAAACACAGCTTTACACACACTGCGAATGAGACGACTGGGCTGAGACAGGAGCGACAGCAGGATCTCAACAACCACCTCCACCCAGTGCGGCTCCTCATTACAGCTCTCGCCATCTGTGTCACACACACATAAACAAACACACACGCACACAAATCATACATCACACACACACACACACCATTAGTGCATCATCTAGCAGGAATAACAGACTACAAATCAAAAAACATTAAATCCATGAACTGCACTGAACTGCTCCAACTTACTCGCTTTCTTCTTTTTAGATTTCTTAGCCTGAGCTTTCTCCACGCAGGTCCGCAAATCATTCAACAGCTCCAAACTTTCATCTGGAGCCTGGAGCGAGGAAAGAAAAACAACATTTATGTTAAGATCACAAAATAAAAGTCTTCAGCACTTTCTGAAATGATTTCATCAATCATATTTTATTTGGAATAGGAATGTAAAGCACATCCTTTTTTCTTGTACTTTATTTCCAACAACCATTTTCAAACAGCAAAATGAACAGGCGTTAAAACAAAATCCTCCCCATGATGCACAACTAAAAAATATATTACATACACAAACAAATAATACAGTGGCTGCAAAAATGATTCAAGCTGGACCTCACCGATTTGTTTTATTTTAAAATAAATTATTAATAATAATAATTTATAATATTAACAACAAGTAGTTTATTCTATTTTTTTTCATGCATTTGGTAGATCTTGCATTGCAATCAAAGTACACATTTTATCGGTTCATGCATTCCCTGGAAATCGAACCCATGATAACCCTGGTGTTTCTAGCACCTGCTCTACTTTAAGAGCTTCAGGAATGCTTAACTGATAATCATTATGAAGATCTGGTCATTCATTTGATTATTTCTGCTTTTTGAAAAAGAAAAAGAAAAAAAATCACTAGAAGAATCCAACCTTGAACATCTGAATCCCAACGAGAAGGAAGAGGTGCTGAAATGCCGTGTGTTCAGGTGAAGAAGACTTCTTTGCTTTTTTCCTCAAGGCCTCCACTGATTCCAGCATACTAAACACACACACAACACAAAATCACTAAAAAGAGCATTTGAGCTGCAGTCTACCCTCACCTTTCTTATTTACATTTAAAAGGTCATAATGTAGAAAACAGTAGTGTTTTGCAGGATGCGTCACCTGTCCCAGCCCTGCCTCTGCTCTGGACTCAAGGTCTGAACACTCTGGACGCGTTTGCTCTGGTTGAGCAGCGTGGTGGCGTACTGAACCACACAGTAGATCCACATGCTTCCATCAGCTTTCACACCCAGAACCCTCCTGGAGTTCAGCCTCTCCGCCTCAGGAGAATCTCCTAGCGCAGCCATCGAGTTCAAGCCCTGCAGAAGACTGGAGGAGATGAAGTATATACTTCATTTAATTATATTTATTATTAATGACTTTTCATTTAATAACTTAACTTGTTTCATTCAAATTAATTCAAATCATTTATGTCAGATTGAATTTTTCATTTAATTTACAAAATTTGACTGATAAGTTTAATTGACCTGTAGAAGGCTGAAGAGATAGTGGCTCGTGTTTGTTGATCTATGGGCACTGAGAGAGCCTGCACCGTCTCAGGGATTTCTGGAGTGGGTTTCTTCACATCAAAGAAGGCGTGGAAGAAAATAAACCTACAGAAGAAGGATAAAGCATCACAATACCATCGATTCATATCAGGGGAGTTGCCACAGGAGTCACGTAGAGACCCTTAATGAGATCTAAAGATGAGTTACCTAGCCATTTTCATGACAAGACCCTCCTCTTTCTTAATCTGATGGTTTTCCACAATGAAAGAGAGGCGTTGAACGATCCATTTACGAAACCTGGCAACACAGCCATCACTCCTACAGCAAGAAACAAATCAGAATAAATATGAAATTGCTAACACTGTAACACTTATTAACACTGTAATCACATTTGTAAGTTGTATAAATTATTCATTACTAAAATTACAAATGATCTGAATGACAAATTCATCTTGTTAATCTCATCATATAATTTAATGAAAACTTATATAAAAAATTGATTTTATGTAAATGCTAAATTATTATTGCATTTATTGTTTGATATAAAATAATTCTTAACATTTATATATTGTTACTACTACTACAACAACAACTATTACTAAAAATAATTATAATTAATGAATGAATTAATATAGAAATATTATTATTGTATTTATATAATAGAACAATAATACAACACATATATATATATAAAACTAATAGGTTTGTATTGTAGATATATATATAAATGTCTTTATAGATACGTAATAAATATACACAGTACACACTCACATATATTATGTAAACAAAAACTTTTATTTTGATTAATCGTGATTAATCGTACTAACGTATATATTATTATTCGTATAATTATTATGAAAGATACTACTAATAGTTAATATTAATGTATAAATATTATTATTACCATTATTAGTGCACTGTATATAATAATTAATAGCAACAATTTTTATTTTTATATAATAGTAATATACATTTTTATAGACAAATTGTTGTTATTATCATTACTGCACCATCATATGGTTTTACTCCAGCAAAAAGTTGAATACTTTATTTTTTTAAACCTCTATTCGTAATGATTTTCAAACAGTAAATTCTTGGAAAATCCGGTGTGAACTCACTCTACTTCAGACTCCTGGTTTCCTTTCTGTCTGCGGGTGCTGAAGTCCAGGCATTTCTCCAGCTGGGGCTTGCAGAAGGCCTTCATCAGCCACTCCACATACTGCTGCAGCGCACACAGATCCATGTGCTCCAGGACCTTCCCGGAGGACGGGACCACGGGGTAGCCCTGGTTAGTGAGCTGAGTGAAGCCGAGCGCCACGACGAGCTGTTTGTCAGCATCAGGGCAGCCCTGCATGAACTCACTCACGTACTTCTCCATTTCTGGAGCAAACTTGAATCGGTATGCCAGCTGACAGGAGACACGCACAATAAACATACATTATTATGGCACAGGCTACATTCAGAATGCAATACTAGTACTATATGTACATGTATAAATGTTAAAGAGTATGCAATGCCAATGTAATTTATCTCACTACTTTTAATTCTAGTGATCTGTAATTTACTGCAGAATTAAATGGTGGTTGCATTTGTGTTTTTGTATTTTCAAATGAAAAAATAATGAATCCAACATCCATCACTTGAAACACACACTAGGGCTGTCAAAATGACTGAAAAACTAAATTCGAATTTTCTACTTCAATATTATCAAAATTCGAATTATATTCAAATTTAAAAGGCAATTTCAGTTAGGTGGGAAAAAAGCTTTTGGCTTCTCTCCTGAGGCCACAAGAGGGTGCATCGAACAAAATATTATGCACGTTTCTTCAAAGTGTAATAAAATAACACGACTATCTTTGAAAAAAAAGTGCATAATGTTTAAAATAATGTTTATAAACCATATATAATTAATAAAGTTGCTTAAACAATTAGAAAAAAAACCCAGGACCATGCATGTATGTATAGTTTAATACAAAGGACCGAAAACCAATCACAAAGAGTAGGCTACTTTCTTCATTTAATAAAAACATGATGCAGTGGGATGGGGAAAAACCGCCATAAAGTCTTGAGACATGTTTTTTAAAAGTTGAACTTGCATTCATTTTACATGGCTTTCTAAACATGCGCTCTCTTGTGCGAGACGCGAGTGCAATGCTGATAGATGTCCCGCTAGAAAATGTGATAAATATGCATTCTGTATGAACGGCTTGGTTTCAGTTTCGCCGTAAACAACATCTTCGCCACACTGATGCTCTCGTTTTCCGCTATGTATTGAATGAACAACGTAGCAGCGCCGCATCTAGTGGGTTCAACTGGATAGGCTAACAAAAGCATTAAAATGCAATCAATGACACATACATCGTCATCACAGACCTTAAATTGGATTTTTAAATGTGGATTTTTTTATTTTTATTTCACGAATATTCGAAATATTTTTTTTGACAGCCCTAACACACACATCACCAAACATAAAGACAGACCTGTGCGGACAGCATGTGTTGACCGTAGTATCTCATCACATCACCGGACAGGACAAACTCGAGCTCAGGGACTGACAGCAGCGGCAGAGATGCTCCCAACAACCGGAAACCTAAATAACTGATCATAAAGAAAGAAAAAAAGCATGCGTTTTGGTCATCATATTCCAATTGGTATTGAAACCATTCTTAAAGGGGTCATATGATGCGATTTCAAGTTTTCCTTTCTCTTTGGAGTGTTACAAGCTGATTGTGCATAGATAAGATCCCTGAAGTTGCAAAGACTAAAGTCTGAAAACCAAAGAGATATTCTTTATCAAAGTTAAGACTCTGCCACGCCCTCCTAAAACGGCTCGTTCTAACACGCCCCCACATATCTACCTCACTATGTGCGAATACTAGCATAATGCCGCCAAAATGAAGAAAGGCGGCGTGGTTTCAGTAACCGCAGTTAGTGTTGAAGCAGCATGTCAGGGAGACGCTGTGTGTTTCTAGGCGAAAGCAAAAGCACTTTATTTGGCCTTCCGAAAGTAGATGTATTTAGGAATCTTTAAGATCACTTACAACAGAACAGCAATGCATTTTATGGACGACCGTTTCCTGAACCTAGGAGAGGAGGGCATTCTGACTTTGCTATGACAATCTGGCGCTTCTGAATCAGCTACTGTTTTGTTATTAGTTTAATTATTTGCTATTGACTGTTCAAATGCAGAGTTTTGCGCATCGATTGTGTGTGTTCGCGCGCGCGAGAGAGGGTCACATCACAGTGGAGTCAGCTGTCTTAACCGTGGCTTGTGTACTGCAAACACACCAGCTTCATCACTGTGTCTGTCACGCGACTCTGTTCCCCTATCAGGCTCTGTCTTTTAATATTTATTTTGAAAGATGAAGCTCGCGATTATGGTAAGGGGTGTTACATTTCCGACGAGTGCTTGCGGTGTTCGGCCAATCACAATGCACTGGATCAGCTGGCCAATCAGAGCAGACTGCGCTTGTCGGAAGGAGGGACTTTGTAGAAAACAAAGCATTTGAGAGAGGCGGGGCATAGAGGACCTACAGTAATGTACAGTATTTGAAAAATAATGTGTTTTTTGAACATTAAAGCATGTCAACATATTCTGTTACACCAAATAATGATCTTTAAAAAAGCATCATATGACCCCTTTAACTAAAAAAAATTAATGAAATACATTTTAATAATATAATATATTTTAAATAAATAAACTATTTGAAACTTAAAGTAAAACTAAATAAATAAATCCCTGAATAAATAATAATAATAAAAAAAAATCAAATGCAGTGAAGTAATAACCAGGCGTACCCATATCTGATTGAGTATTAGACAGATAAATTAGCAGGTTAAGGTTTGGTTGCACATGTTAAACTCACTGTGTGGGACCAGGCATCTCTGACAGCATGCCTTTGATAATGGCTTCATTCCAGAACATCTCGAAGTTGTCCTCCCGCAGAGACGCCTGTACCAAGTCAAACGCGACTGGGGGCAGAATGTTGTCCTTCTTCACAGAGCGAGCGGCCGTCTTTAAAACCTCCACCAGCCTGGAAGTACACATCAAAAGAGTTAATAAAACAATGAAGCACTCAAAATATGAGCATGTTTTTAACCTACCACGTGTAAAACTACACTTTCAAATGAAGTCAACACAATAAATATGCAACTGAAAAAAGTAATCATACTAACATGACAATATTGTCTAAAACAACATTTAGTATTTTTTCAAATAAAATCAACATAAGAAAATAAACATTACATTATCATTATAAAATTAATAATTACATAGATTTCATATTATGAATTAATACATTATTTACATATTTCCATACATCATTTATAAATCATTTTAAAATTTACAATAAATTTGACAAAATAAGCAATTAAAATAAACTGAAGTAGATGCATGCATACAATTTCATAATTAAACAACTATTTTAGCATATATAAGAACGTCTGAAAACAAAGACAAAACCTACAGAGTAAGAAAGCAGAAAAGGGAGTCAGGCTCACTCACTTTGGCATGTTCTCTTTAGTAATGACTGCTGTGGTTCCTAATAGTTTCTTGAGTTTTTTGGGTTTGAGCGCAGAGGGGAACTTCTGCATGGCCACCAGGAGGAGCTCGAGCTGCTCGGGAGTGTTGAGGGCAGAGGTCAGGTCAGACTGCAGGGCGCTCAGGAGCACCTCTTCAAACACCTCCTTCGACGTCTATACAACAAAACACATGAATGAAACATTATAGAAACCAGAGACGGTAAAAGATCATCAACACAAAGTAGAGTTTATCTAAATCCCAAACTCTAGTAATCCGTGTCACACGATCCTTCAGAAATCATGCTGATTTACTGCTCAAGACACAGTTCTTCTTCTTATTATTATATTATGTTATACAATCTTACTATACAGTGTTGAAAATAGTTGTGCTGCTTAATATTTTATGGAAACCACAATACACTACCCATTCAAAGGATCCTGGGAAAAAATGCTCGACATTGACAATAAGATGATCCATTCATAAAAAAATGAAATTGAAAAGAAAATAGAATAATATCTGAAAGATCATGTGACACTGAGGACTGACACTGAATATATTCAAATAGAAAACAGCTATTTTAAATTGTAATATGTCACAATATTACTGTTTTTACCTCATTTAAGGTCAAGTAAATGGTGAGCATAAGAGACTTCTTACAAAAATAACTAACTTGGTTAAAAATAACCAAACTTTTTACTGGTAGTGTACATTCATTCATGTAATATAATAAATATAATAGCAGTTATTATGATTACTACTACATTAATCAATATATACTAGTGCTGTCAAACGATTAATCGCATCTAAAATAAAGTTTTTGTTTACCCAATATAAACACAGTGTGTACTGTGTATATTTATTATGTATATATATATATATATAAATACACACTGGTACAGTATATATTTTGAAAATATTTACATGTATATATTTATATTATATATAAATATATTTAATATACAAATTAGTGCTGTCAAATGATTAATCGCGATTAATCCAAAACAGCACCAAATCGCATCCAAAATAAAAGTTTTTGGTTACATAATATAGGCTGTGTGTGTGTTCTGTGTATATTTATTATGTACATATAACGACACACACACACACAGCATATATTTTGAAAATATTTACATGTATATATTTATATTCATATCAATTATATAATATATAAATATATTTAATATATAAACATAACATATTTTTCTTAAATATATAAATCTGCATGCGTGTGTATTTATATATCCATAATAAATATACACAGTACAGACACCTATATTATGTACACAAAAACTTATTTTGGATGCGATTAATCGCGATTAATCGTTTGACAGCACTAATACAAATATAAAATTTTTCTTAAATATATACATGCATGTGTGTGTATTTATATATACATAATTAATTTACACAGTACACACACATATTATGTAAACAAAAACTTATTTTGGATGCGATTAATCGTTTGACAGCACTAATATATACATGTTATTGTTACACATCTTATTTGTAATGCTACTCGAGCACCTCTTCAGACACCTCTTTCGATGTCTATACCACAAAATGAAAACAGGAATAACACATTAGTAACCACCTCTGACAGGATGTCGACCATGGTTTTTCTGGGCAGGTCTCTCAGGTGTTCTCTGTACCGCGACAGACTCTGCAGGAGCTGCACACACTCCAACATGACCTGCGGCTCCTGAGAAACAACACGCAGCAAAAGATCATCAGCACAAATCAGAGTTTGTCGAAATCCCAAATAATATCCAAGATAATTAGTGCTTCCAAAAACTATTTCCAGCTATTTTTGCCCACAAAAAAGCAACAACGCAAACCCTCATGAATCTGATTCTCTTACCTTATGCAGACGTGTGGACTGAGACAGGGCGAGCACACCAAAGAAATTCCCAAACGCTGCATTTCTGATCAATTTCTGTCAAAAGAATTGAAGCATCACATGAAAAACCTATGAGCATCATGATTATGACAGAACGATGATTAGGATAATAACGTATTAAGGCCACATCACATGTGAAATCCTCACCTTTTTGGCTTTTTGGAGGTTGTGCTTTTCTTTGACGCTGTCTAGCGTGGATTTCAGTGAGATCTCCTCAAATACACTCAGCAGCTTCATACAGAAACAAATAGTAATCAAACGCATATCTAATAACTGCTACAAAAAGATGTGAAGATGCAGCTTGTCTGGTTAAAAATACCTGAGCGAGCGCAACGCTGTATCCTGACCGAGCGTCTTCTCTTGTGTGAGAAAGACCGTCCACTAGTCTCTTCAGTGAATACTTCAACTCATCTGGCTAGATGAAAAACATAAACATAAAGTAAGCAAACATACATTTCTGACATGAATCTGAATCCACTGACTATCATACAAGGTCACATCTTTCATGCTTGATTCTTCAATTAACGGCATGCACTGGAAATCAGTTGTTATGGTGGTCTCTCTTTGGTAATGGCAAATTAACTGAAAATGTGATTTCTACTATTCAATACAGTTCATAGGAAAATACATGATCGAATAGATTAGAGCTATTTATTAGGGATGCACGATATATCGGCCACCATATCGGTATCGGCCGATAAATGCTCATTTTTTCTGTTATCGGTATCGGCCTGATAAGAAAATGTGGCCGATATCTTAAAGCCGATAAATAATGCATTATTTCCTTCAGACACTTCAGATGCGCGCTGTTCGTTTGCAGCCTTTTGTGCAATTGTACATTGTAATATTGTGTTTATTTGATGTATATCTGATTTATCTCATATAGAATGCGTTTGGTTAAGTTAAAAGAGCGCTTCAGTTTACCGGTGATCATCTTTAGCTCAGCGCACGCAGCTCAAACAGCAGTGCACAACATTAATAACTATGATTGGGAATGTTGTGTATATAACATTCTAATGAGAACATTATTATAATAAAACGTTGTGAATTCTTTGGGTTTAGTTGCCGTGTTTCAGCGCGTTGTTATGGGAAGAGCGCATCCACAACAGGATCACACATTCTGACTATAGCATGCAATAACTGCGTCATTTTGTACATATATAAGTTGTATTATTATGTTTATGTTGTATTAATATTGATCTCAGGATGCATTTCCTTGAGTTAAATAAGCTGCCAGCAAAACGCTTCAGTTTACCGTGTTCATTCAGCTCTTCAGCTTCAGCACGTGCAGCTCAATGGCTGCTATTTAAAACAGTGGTATTAATTTGTTACTTTTTCAAAATCATTGATATATTATTAATAACAACAACCACTTGTATTTTTCTCTTATTATTTTCATCAACAATATGGTTTAGTAATTAAAATCATTTAATTATTGTCCGTGCAGAGGCTATTCTGCTATTCTGATCTATGGCGCATTCATTTTGATTCTTTACACGTGTAATGATGTCCAGTTACTTGTTTGCATTATTTATGCATTATTTTATTTATTTGTAAGACTTTTTTATGACTAAATTTGGTAATGGGAGAGTAAAAATATTTTTAAAACGTACACCGTTCAAACTAGGCTGCTTATGTTGAAGTGTTTGGGATGTGGCTTTTAATGATGAGACCTTTTTTATAATCAGGCTCTCAAAAAGTATATAACAATTTGGATATAGATTTATCGGCCAACATATCGGTTATCGGCTTTCAAAAATAAAGAATAATCGGTTATCGGTATCGGCCAAAATTTTCATATCGGTGCATCCCTACTATTTATTAATATATGTTAGTAAAACCTAATTAAAAGTTATTCAAACTTTTTTCTCTCATCCTGTGGACAGAGAAGTTTCCATATCTGAAGAACTCGTATAACATGATAGAATAGATTAGAGCTATTTATTAATAAAGTTTCCATATCTGAAGAACTCATATAACGTTCCAGTACAACAGCTCCATTCAACCCACGTGTTTGCATCAACAACCAAAGCCGAATGGAGCACTGTTCAGATATGAATATAAATATTAGTAAAATATAATTAAAAAAAGTTATTCAAACTTAAAATTCAAACTTTTTTTTTCTCTCATCCTGTGGACAGAAAAGTTTCCATATCTGAAGAACTCGTATAACATGATAGAATAGATTAGAGCTATTTATGAATATAAATATTAGTAAAACATAATTTTAAAAGTTATTCAAACTTAAAATTCAAACTTTTTTTTTTCTCTCATCCTGTGGACAGAAAAGTTTCCATATCTGAAGAACTCGTATAACATGATAGAATAGATTAGAGCTATTTATTAATAAAGTTTCCATATCTGAAGAACTCGTATAACATGATAGAATAGATTAGAGCTATTTATTAATAAAGTTTCCATATCTGAAGAACTCATATAACGTTCCAGTACAACAGCTCCATTCAACCCACGTGTTTGCATCAACAACCAAAGCCGAATGGAGCACTGTTCAGATAATGACAGCTTATTACATCGGGTGATAAAACAGCATTAATAACTATAACAACCAACTCCGGCCAAGATTATTGATCAACAGTGAAAAGCCGATGTTAAAATGATCAGAGCTGACTCTCCATACCTTCTCGCTCTGCTTCAAGTGTTCGATCAAGTCCTCAATCGCTTTCAGGCGGATTTCTCGCTCGGGTTTCGCGATGTCCCAGAAGTAATCCAGGAACTGTCGGTTCTGTTTGAGAATGCCTTTAGCATCGGTGACTTTGGGTCTCACGGTGCTGTCCTCGAGCTCTCCCATGTTTGTCTGCATCACCGCAACTATGAGAGCGTGGCGCACAGACAGACACGTGGGGGAACCGCGAGGACGTTTTCTACCTCCAGGGTTACTTCCGCGCTGTGATTTCAAAATAAAAGTCTCAACCCATAAACTGAACTGCGAACGCTTCCAAGGAGGCGCCCATATTAATTGACATTTACCGATTACTTTATAATTTATAAGGGTGTTTTTGTTCTTTTATGGGCAGCCTTTGTACTGGGGAGCTAATCACAGATATTATGGTCTAACGTTATACTTGTCGTTGATGGAGAGCTTTCAGAAAACGTAAAACTAACTTAAGCTGAAAGCCCTAAAGTCATGTGTGGCGTGTCAGAGCTCTTACTGTGAAACTCATCTGGAGCGTCATTTGAGAGTGGCAGGTTTAAAGAGACACAAACTGATGGGTACTAATAGAAAGGCAATTAAAACTGTCAGTTTGTGTTCTGTCTTCAAAATTTTTAAGTAATGTAAAGGTCATGCATGTCTCTGAATATGTGTGTATATGTTTTTTATGTTTTTATTTTTGTTTATCTTTTCTTTTATCCTTTGTTACCCTGGCTTTGTATTGTTTTGTATGTCGTTTAAAGCATAATAAAAATTAAAAAATTAAAAAAAAAAAAAGACACAAACGGATGGAGCCTGTGAGTAACCTGGAGGACTGTATATGCCAGACACATGAGAGACCTCTGGAGCTGTTCTGTAGAGATGATCAGACATGTGTGTGTCCGATGTGTGCTCTGACAGACCACAAGAACCACAACACTGTTCCTCTAGAAGAGGAGAGTGAAGAGAAGAAGGTAGAAAATTTAATTAAAAAAAAGACAAACGGATGGAGCCTGTGAGTAACCTGGAGGACTGTATATGCCAGACACATGAGAGACCTCTGGAGCTGTTCTGTAGAGATGATCAGACATGTGTGTGTCCGATGTGTGCTCTGACAGACCACAAGAACCACAACACTGTTCCTCTAGAAGAGGAGAGTGAAGAGAAGAAGGTAGAAGTTACTGCAAAATATAATGACAAATCACATTTCTTTAATCTAGTAAAAAGAGGGTTCATTATGAAAAGATATTGTTTTCTCAGAAGCCAGTAAATCTCTGTTATGATAAATGTTTCTGTGTCTGTAGACTCAACTGATGAAGACACCGAAAGACATGCAGCAGATAATCCAGGAGAGAATCAAGAAGATTCAAGACATTAAACGCTCCGCAAAAGTTAGAAAGGTAAGTTCAAAATAATTGAATTAAACCTATAATAGTATTTCTTAAACACAATTTTGTTCAGGTCCTCCAAGAGTCCACCGAGAGTTACAGTGGCTCTTTCTGCAGGTTACATCGTTATACCAATAGGTGACTGTCTTTAGTGAGTCGCTGATTTCGATTCATTCACTCGGTTCGTTTAAAAACACTGGAAAGAATCTCTAGTGCTGGTGTTCTCAACTCTGGAACAAGAGGTCTACTTTCCTGCAGAGTTTAGCTCCAACCCTAATCAAACACAACTGAACAAGCTAATTAATGTCTTCAGGATGACTTGAAGGTTATTGGCAGGTGAGTTTGATCAAGGTTGGAGCTAAACTCTGAAGGAAAGTGGAACCTCAAGGGCCAGAGTTGAGAACCACTGCGTCTAGTGTGTTGTGTCTTTATTTCAAACCCTTTTCCCTGGTCAGAGCAAACACAAAGTAAATAGCAACAATTTCTTTAAAGGGGTCATATGACGTTGCTAAAAAGAACATTATGTTGTGTATTTGGTGTAATGCAACGTGTTTATGCGGTTTAAGGTAAAAAAAAAACACATTATTTTCCACAATGTACTTTATTGTTTCTCATCTATGCCCCGCCTTTCTGAAACGCCTCGATTTTTACAAAGCTCATCGGTCTGAAAAGCGAGGTGTGCTCTGATTGGCCAGCTATCCAGTGCGTTGTGATTGGCTGAATACCTCAAGCGTGTGACGGAAATGTTACGCCCCATTACAAACGAGGCATTTTTTGCATCCAGTGGGGACATAATTACTGATTATAATGACTTATACTGTGTTTTTACGCGTTGCGTATCGCGCCGCCCAAACATAAAACCATGTCTGCATTTGTGATCGGAGAAACGACAAACAACAAGCGCTACTCTACACTGCTCAAAACTCGCGTTTGAATCATCAGTGGCAAATTCTTTAAATATAAAAAACGTACTTGCAGGCTGTGAGTCAGAAGCGCCAGACTGTCCTTGCAAAGTTGGAACTGCCCCACTTTATAGAAGCAGCCTTTGAGCACAGAAGCATTGTAGGCTACTCTGCAGGTTCAGGATCTGAATATTTGGGTTGAAGTGTTCTGGAACAGTGTTGTAAATACAACTTAACCACTGATTTCTAGTTGTGTCTTCTTTTGGAAGGCAAAACAAAGTAGTTTCGCTTTCACAACGAAACACACAGTGGCTTTAATAAGCGGCGGCCGGAGGGCTTGCGGCAACCACATGTGGATTCCGCTTCGTCCACGGTGAAAGCCGATCCGGCGATCCACAGTGCAAAGTTGATGTATTTCCTCAGCGACCAGCACGGATCAGCTCTAGGCATGACTAAGCGGATATCGTCCTCTTTTGGAAGGCCAAACAAAGTAGTTTCGCTTTCATAACGAAACACAGCGCCTTCACGACACGGCAACAATACTACAGCGAGAATAAAAGTTACGCCTTCCTTCTTTGCGTGAACATTTGGGCGGTGTTATGCAAATCTTCCCACACAGTGACATAGACATGTGGGGGCGTGTTTAAACCAGGCGTTTTAGGGGGGCGTGGACGAGTCTTAACTTTTATAAAGAATATCTCTTTGGATTTGAGACTTTAGTCTTTGCAACTTTTACAGATCTTCTTTATGCACCAAGAGCTTGTAACACTCCAAAGAGAAAGGAAAAATTGAAATCGCATCATATGACCCCTTTAAAATCTTGTTCATTGAATTGCTGTGTAAAAGCCATATAAAAACACTTCAGTTAAAGGAATTAAAATAAAACCCTAATAACACTAAATTATGAGCAATAGTAACTTTAATTCTTGTCTTATCAAACACCACTAATCATTTGTTGACTGACTGGTTGAGCAGAGAAACACAGAGATGGAAAAAGCAGCCCGTGTTGAGTTCTTCACTGATCTCGTCCACTCCATTGAGAGATGTCAGACTGAACTGATGGAGATGATGGAGGAGCAGCAGAAAGCAGCAGAGAAAAAGGAGGAAGAGCTCATTGAAGAGCTGGAGCAGGAGATCACTGAGCTAAATATGAGAAACACTGAGCTGGAGCAGCTCTCACACACTGAAGATCACTTCCACTTCCTAAAGGTCATTCGACATCTCTCTGATCAATGATAATGCAGTATATGACACTCCTCATGCTGAAGGATTTTTCCATTCTCCTGCTGTAGATGTACTCATCCCTGTGCAGCCCTACAAACACCAGGAACTGGTCTGAGATCAGTATGAATACTTGTGTGAGTCTGGAGACTGTGGAGAGCTCTGACTCAACTGCAGTACACTCTAGATGAGAAATTCACAAAAACTGGTACGGCAATATCAAATACGACAGTGACATAGACATGTGGGGGCGTGTTTAAACCAGGCGTTTTAGGGGGGCGTGGACGAGTCTTAACTTTTATAAAGAATATCTCTTTGGATTTGAGACTTTAGTCTTTGCAACTTTTACAGATCTTCTTTATGCACCAAGAGCTTGTAACACTCCAAAGAGAAAGGAAAAATTGAAATCGCATCATATGACCCCTTTAAAATCTTGTTCATTGAATTGCTGTGTAAAAGCCATATAAAAACACTTCAGTTAAAGGAATTAAAATAAAACCCTAATAACACTAAATTATGAGCAATAGTAACTTTAATTCTTGTCTTATCAAACACCACTAATCATTTGTTGACTGACTGGTTGAGCAGAGAAACACAGAGATGGAAAAAGCAGCCCGTGTTGAGTTCTTCACTGATCTCGTCCACTCCATTGAGAGATGTCAGACTGAACTGATGGAGATGATGGAGGAGCAGCAGAAAGCAGCAGAGAAAAAGGAGGAAGAGCTCATTGAAGAGCTGGAGCAGGAGATCACTGAGCTAAATATGAGAAACACTGAGCTGGAGCAGCTCTCACACACTGAAGATCACTTCCACTTCCTAAAGGTCATTCGACATCTCTCTGATCAATGATAATGCAGTATATGACACTCCTCATGCTGAAGGATTTTTCCATTCTCCTGCTGTAGATGTACTCATCCCTGTGCAGCCCTACAAACACCAGGAACTGGTCTGAGATCAGTATGAATACTTGTGTGAGTCTGGAGACTGTGGAGAGCTCTGACTCAACTGCAGTACACTCTAGATGAGAAATTCACAAAAACTGGTACGGCAATATCAAATACGCCATACAGATACATATGTTTATTATTTTTTAATTCAAGTAATGAATAATGAGTCTCAAATATCTTTTGATGTTTTATTGTCATGTCTCTCTACAGAGCTGAGGAGGATGCAACAATATGCAGATACAGTGAGCTGTCAGCACTTCACTCATTTACATTCAGATACTCACAGCTTCATTTCTGCACTACAATCTGATTAAAACTATTAAATATTAAAAACATTGTAAATCTGTGATTGATGTTCTCTGTTTTCTTAGTGGATGTGACTCTGGATCCTGATACAGCTCATCCAAACCTCATCCTGTCTGATTATAGAAAACAAGTGAGATTTGGAGAGGTTAGTCAGGACCTCCAAGACAATCCAGAAAGATTTGATTCAGGTGTCTGTGTCTTGGGAAAGGAGAGATTCTCCTCAGGGGGGTTTTATTTTGAGGTGCAGGTGAAGGGAAAGACTGACTGGGATTTAGGAGTGGTCAGACAATCCATTAACAGGAAGGAAAAGATTGCAGGCAGTTCCAGTGATGGATACTGGATTGTTATTCTGAGGAATGGCAATGAATATAAAGCCTTTGCTGGTCCCTCTGTCTCTCTGTCTCTGAGGGTAAAGCCGCAGCGGGTCGGTGTGTTTGTGGATTATGAGGAGGGTCTGGTCTCTTTTTATGATGTGGAGTCCAGCTCTCATATCTACTCTT